AATGGAATGAAATGCCCAACGCACTCCAACAGTCACCTCTGAGATTTTGACAGAGCTGCTATTCCCACCCAGAGATTTAGAGTGTGTAGTTAAACATTTCCCGGAGATTTTGAGTACATCAGAGAATGTGTATGGTGGGCCACTATAAGATTTTGAGTGACTATAAGTTTTCTGACACATGTGGTTTTCTTTTCAATTAATAAAATAATGCAGAACATTATGCTTACTATTTTTGCAAATGGGAAAGTTAAAGTCAACTGGGTTGTGCCAAGAGAAATTCTCCCCAGGTTTCTGAATGATTCCCTGACCAACAAAATAGTAACTTCCCTGAAGGCTAATCTGGATCATCTCTGGACAAGAGTGGCATTGCCAGTTTTAGTTGTTTAACTGAGAGGAATGTATATTAATGTTGATTTTTATGAATCTAAGTCATTACAGAGGACATGAAATGGTTTTCAACCTGGTTAGAGGAATTTTTGAAGAGACTCCCCAAGGCATGGAATATGAAAGATTTGACCCTATAATCAAAAACAATTACATTTAGTTTTGAAACTATAGATTATATTTTCTTATATTTTTATTTTCTAAGCTAACTTTGGTTGCAACATAAGCTTAATTCTGGCCACTAATTCAACAACACTAGTCATTAGGGAAATGCAAATCAAAACCACAATGACACACCTCCTCATATCCTCACACTTGTTAGGATGGCTATTATCAAAAAAGCAAAACAAAACAAAAGCATAAGTGTTGGTAAGGATATGAAAAAATTGGATCCCTTTTAGGATTCTGTTGTGGAAGTGTAAAATGGCGCAGCCACTATGGAAAACAGTTTGGAGCTTCTTTAACCATTTTTTGTTTGTCCTGAAAATGCTCACTGGCGGCACTTGCAGCTACAGTGTTTACCCTGAGATAACGCACAGATTATAGTCCTAACCCAAAGTTTGCCACGAAATATCTCGTTTTTATTACTTTCGCATCGCTCTAGTATATCTACAGTCTTTGGTAAAAAATGACATTGTTCTATGTATAGCATTCTGTCTTTAGTAGTAGTATTTTCATTTACAAAATATAGTAATTCTCGATCTCTGAAAATGTCAAATCCTAGAAAATACAGC